TGGTGATTGGTTTGGTGTGGGTTGGTTTCTATTTCAGTCTGCCTCTCCCCCTCAGTATGTCTCATCATCAGCATCGTCATCTTCACGTCATCACATTAATCTCAGGGATCAATGTCTTGGTTTCTGCCTTTCCCCTCAGTCTCTCAGCATCTCATTTCTCTTCCATAATCTATTTTTAAATGTCTCTGCCATGCAAAGCTCTTCCTTCACCTGACTCAGTCTCTTTGTGTCTCCCTCAGCGTCTGCCCTCCTGCCTCTGTCTCTCTCTCTCCTTCTCACAGGGCTGGTAGCTCCCCCAGGGCCAGGAGGACCAGTCAGACCCCCTGCAGAGCCTGAGGAGCTGTGATTCAGGCTGAATCACAGGTCAGTCTATTGACTGTCTGCTTAACCGTGTGAGAGAGGGCCCGGAGCACAGAAACCAACCAAAAAGTCCTTTGGGATTCTCCTACCATAGACTCAGCTGAGCTGGATGGATTAGTTACCAAAGATTCTGATGATTCAGGCTCAGAATGAACACAGAGCCCCTGTCCACTCCTGAGCCTTCTGTGGGGATCAGACAGGCTTGAGGCTGAAGCTGGGAGGCTCCTGGCCACTCCCTGAGGCTGGGGAGCCACTGCTTCACAGACAGTTGTCCTGCCAGCTGTCATTCCACACATACTCTGAGTGCCTGCTTTGTGCCAGGCCTGTTGTAGGTACCATAAATACACTCGTGGACAAATTCCTGCACTCATGGAGCAGTCAGATCCTGTTCCTCTTCTGTTCAGAACGCTTAAAGGCTTTCATCCTACTTAAATCAAAGCCACCGTTCTCTGGATGACTTACCAAGCTCTCTCTAAACTGGCCTCTGTCACTTTCTGACCTTTCCCTGCAGAGGGTGGCTTCAAACAGAAGCCCAAAATCAAGGTGGTGACAGGGCCGTGCTCCCCTCAAAGGTACTAGGAGAGGATGTGTCCTTGCCTCTTCTAGCTTCGGTGGTGACCAGCAATCCTTAGCTTCCTTTGGTTTATAGATGGAGCACTCCAATCTGCCTCTGTCTTCCCATGGCCTTCTGCCCTGTGTCTCTGTGTCCAAATTTCCCTCTTTTTATAAAGACAGAAGTCATATTGAATTGAGGGCCCACCCTAATCCAGTATGACCTCATTTAATTGTTTATCTTTGCAAAAACCCTATTTTCAAATAAGGTCACATTCACAGTTTCCATGACATGAATTTTGGGGGGACACTCTGCAACCCAATACAGGTCCTTGGAGAAAAACAAAGGCAGGAAAGGAGATAGAGAGAGACAGGGTAGTGGTTTAGATTTGGGGTCAGGAAGCCCTCTCTGGGGGCCAGAGTGAAGACTCTGGAATTATTTTATTTCCTATAAGAGGCCATAAGGGGGTTTTGTGAAGTCTTTGAGTAGACAAACAGTTAATGTGTTTAGCTGCTAAACAAAAGTTTGAAGGTTTCAGCCTATATGGCCATGAGACCAGAACTAGATGGTGCCCAGCTACCACTGTTAACCACTCAGAAAGGGATCAGTGCAGGATATCCTGGAAAGAGCAGAAGAAAAATGTGGAACAAAACTAAAGAAAAAAAAATAAAAATAAGACCAGGTTTATTGGTCTGATAGAGCCTGGTGAGATTATGGCCCCTTGTTACCCTTCAGGTCTGGAACTAAACTCAATCCTGTGGCTTCTAGCTGGACAATAGATAGGCATATAGGGTGAACACTTACATCAGGTAGATATACTCCTTAGAGCGATTAGTCCTGGGAGAACAGAAGTGCAGTGTTTGCATAGGAAGATAGCTGGGGGAGGGGAGGAATGCATAGGAAGGAAAGACACAGGGAAGAGGTAACTATAGGAAGGAAGTGGAAAGAGAGCTGTTACATTGCGGGGAATTGCAGTCAATGTCGTGAAACAAAATGTGTATGAACTGCTGTATGGAAAATGAATTTGCTCTGTAAACTTTCACCCAAATCACAATAAAAATTAAAAAAAAAAAAGTTTGGAGGTTGGAGGTTGGAGGTTTGAGTGGACCCAGAGACACCTCAGAAGAAAGGCCTGGCATCTACTTCTGAAAAATCAGCCACTGAAAACCCTCTGGGGCACAGTCCTCCTCTGACACACGTGGATGGAGTCATTGTGAATGGAGTTGACTTGACAGCAACTAGTTTGGGAGGTTTTGCGCGAGGAGATCTCATGGTCTGCCTTAGGTTTTTAAACAGCTCGCTCTGGCTGTGGTCTGGAGAACAGACTGAAGGTGGGCAGGGGTGGAAGGTCATGTGTGCAGAGCCCCAAGCTAAATGGCAAATGGTAGCAGTCCCTCCAGGAAGCAGGCCCCAGGAAAGACTAGCTGAGGACTTTGAAAATGGGCTGGGAACTGAGAAGTGGGGTTCTAATCTGACTTCATGATTGTAGGGCTCTGGGAAAGTGGCCTCCCCTCTCTGGGCCTCAGGTTCCTGAATTGCAAAATGAGACAGTTAAATCTGTAAGGTTCCTCCTTTCATGCTCTGTGAGGCTGTCTTTCTAAGTGCGTGGTTTCCCTCTGCCCTTGAGTAAGACTCCAGCAAAGGACAGCAGGAAGGGCGAACTGAAGAGGGAAGTAGGCCAACATCCTAATCTCTCTCTCCCTCTGGATGGCAGCAGTGAGCTCCTTTGTGATACTGCCAAGGGCTCATGAGGGCCCAGCCCTCTCTGCTCTCTGGGCACAAGTCCATATCACTGATGTTTAGGGCTCATGTAGATAAAGGTGTGAGGAGGCAAAAAAGACAGGCCTGCATTCAGATTTCTTCCCCTCCTGGTCATCATGCTGTGTGACTTTGGGTGAGTGTCATGCCCTCTCTGGGGCTCTATTTTCTGCCCTGTAAAATAAGGATCATATTCTCTATCACACAATATTGTGAAAGTTCTAAGAAACAAGGCTGTACAGCACAAAGCTCAGTGTCTGGCACATAGTAGCTGCTCAGTAAACTTTAATGCCTTCCATCTCCCCTCCTGCACTAGGAGTGCCTGTCACCCCTTGCCTAAAATGCTTCCGTGGTTCCCCTTGCACTGAGATTAAAGCCCACTCCTCTTAGGGCAGATCAAGCCCTCCCTACTCCTCAGCTCATCTCCTGCCCCTCTCCGCACTGTGTGGGGCATCCCAGCTTCACTAGTCGCCTTTCAGTTCCTCTAACAAGCCAAGCTCTTTCCAACTTGCAGACCTCTGCCTGTGTGCTTCACCAGCTCTCCTCCTTCTTCCCATATTTTAGGTCTGGAGGTTCAAACCCACCAGCCACTCCTCAGAAGGAAGGTTGGGCGATCTAAGTCTGTAGTGATACTGCGTCGGAAACCCAAGGAGGGGTCACTATGACTCAGATCCAACTTGACAGCTATGAGGGTTTTTTTAGTTTTGAGTGTTACCTTGTCTAAGAACTCTTGCCTGAGCACACTCTCTTGTCTCTCTCAGCCTCTCATTTATCTCTGTCATACACTTACTTTAACTGTTTTATTAGTCTATCACTTGTTTAGACCACAACCTCAACCGCACTGTAAATTCCATCTCTGTCTGTCTTAGGCACTGCTTATGCCTGGCACTTATAATAGTAGTTGGCACCCAGTAGGTGCTTAAGATAGCCACAACCATGGACTCAGACATCCCAATGATCTTGAGGATGGTGCAGGACCAGGCTAAGTTTCATTCTGTTATACATAAGGTCTCTATGAGTCAGAGTTGACTCAACAGCAACTAACAACATCTACCAAAAACCAAAGTCCAAACCTGCTGTTGTTGAGTCGATTCTGACTCATGATGACCCTGTGTGATACAGGGTACAGCTGAGTTCCATTGTGCTTCTTGCCTGTGATCTTTACAGGAGCAGATGGCCCTCGCTTTCTTCTGTGATGCTGTCTAGGGACTTTACAATAGCAACAACAACAGGGGCTTACTAAGTATTCCCTCCTAGTGCAAAGACACATATCCACCACAGCAATCACATTAATGCCAGCACTGGTCACAAGGGGGCCCAGGATCACTGGGAAAATCAGCTGCTAAGAAATGGGGAAGCTGGAGACTAGAATGTTTATTAAAAGTTAAAGCATGGCCCTGCATCCAATGCCCGACCATCAGTGATGTACCCTTCTGCAACTCCAGTGGCCGTCTGTTCTTGTTTTCTTGACCCACCCAACTTTCTTCCTTGCAGCGTGCCACATGGCAGTGTTTTAAGAATTAGTAGTTCAATTATTGTGACGCCTCTTCTCCTCAACACACTCAAGCACAGGGTGCATGCATGCTCACACACACACACACGTACACACACACACATATCCTGAGGCTGTGGGTGCATACTAGTGCACACTCACCCTCACAACACCCTCTTTTCTAAGCAATGGAGTAAGATGCTAGGACATGGGTCAGGATTTTTTCTCCCAGTAGGTTTTTCGGAAACTTCTAGGAAGCCACTAAAGACAAAAAGCAAAGGCAAGAGTAGCACTGTAGAGGTGCCAAGGCCAAAACTGAAACAAAGTTTGGGAAAAACATATTTTTAATATTTTTTTTTCATTGAAAAAACAATGTAGTATAAGTTTTAAAACTATTTTAAAGCAAAAATCCACCCCAAATCCTATCTCTCTGTTGTACAATTGTTTCACTTGGACACGGTCCCCCCTGCCTGGGTTCCCAGGCATCCACCTTTCTTTCAGAGATCTGCTGTGCTAATGAACATCAAGAAAATTACATTTTAAAATAGAAGTGGTGGTTCATCGTCTCTAAAGGGACAGCCAAGGCTAAGCCCAGATTTCATTTCTCTGAACAGCTGTTGAGGAGTCAAACCTAGAGGGGTCAGGCCATACACACACGTATTCACTTTGGGGTACATGAGCATGTGTATGTGTGTGTGTGTGTGTGCATCAGTTGGAAGGGCACCACAAGCTCCTCCTCCCAAGGGGCTCCTGTTGGGCTTAGTCCTAACCTGGCTTGCTCAGAAAGGCAGATTCAGGCCTGTTTTCTTCAATCCTTAATCTTCCTTCTGTTCTCAGGTGTCAGGAAGAGAGAGCTCAGCTGCAGGCAGAGGCAGAATGGAAGCAACAGGAAGCTGAGAAGAGGGCCACCAAGTACCAGGAGGAGCTTGGAGGGCAGCAGGACCTGGTCCAGGCCATGAAGAGGCGGGTGCTGGAACTGATCCAGTAAGAGTGGGGACAGTGGAGGGTGGGGTTAGGGGACTAGGGGGACAGTATGTGATGTGGAAATTTCACTCCACTAACAATTAAGCATAGTGCCTAAGGCACTTGACTGCTAACCAGAAGGCTGGCTGTTCAAACCCACCAGCCACTCTTCAAAAGGAAGGTTGGGCAATCTACTTCCCTGGTGATATCGCCACGGAAACCCAAGGAGGTGTCACTATGAGTCGGGGCAGACTCCACGGCACATAACAACAACAACAACAGCAATTAAGATTGGAACCCTGTTAAGTGCTAGGCTGGTAACTGAAAGGTCAGCCATTCTGACCCACTCAGTGGCTATGCAGGAGAAACAACCTAACAATCTGCTTCTGTAAAGATTACAGCCTAGAAAACCCTCTGGGACAGTTCTACTCTGTCATATGGGGCACTTCAATTCAGAGTCAATTTCATGGTATGCAAAACAATTACCAAGTAGGCTTCTGGATCTTCCATAAGTAGGCTGATCTCCTTTTAGCCTCCCCTTGGTGCTCTCCTCCTTTTACAGATGAGGAAACAGGGTGAGAGAGGCTGACTTGGTCACCAGGGACACAGAATATATAAACTGTGTAGAGTCTCTGACTCTAATGCACATGCCCTCTCCACCCCACCCACGCCTACATACATACCTACTAAGATTAGAAAGTAAAGGAACCATGGAAAATGGGAGAAGGAAGAAAAAGACACAGGGGTGAATCAAGAGATAATTGCATGTCCTGTTTCCACACTGCCTGTGTAAGCAAATGGAATTGTCGCAGCATGGAGCTTCTGCCAGATGTCTGTGCCTCATCCAGTCATCCAGTCACATGGCCACAACTAGGGAATCCAACCAGAACGCTTCTTAGAAGCGAGGATGGCAAGACTTCAGCTTGCTTACCTTGGACACATTATCAAAAGGCACCGATCACTAGAAAAGGAAATCATGTTTGGATAAGTAGAGGGTCAGCAAAAACGAAGGACACTGTCAATGACATGGATTGAAAGTAGCCACAAATATAGACTTGAACACACCAAGAATGATGAAGATGGTGCGGGACCACGCAACGTCTTATTCTGTTATACTTAAGATCACCACAAGTCATAGCTGACTCGGCAGCAAACAACAACAACATCTTCACAAGTAAGGGCAGGAAAGTGCAATACATTTTCTACCAAGAAGAGAAAGCTTAGTGATAACCACATTCAACATATAAACAAACCCCATTTCATAAAAAAAAAAAAAAAAAAAAAAACACATATTATATATGTGCAGACAGAGAAGACTGGAAGAAATTAAACTGATTATCTTGTGAAAGAAGAGAGAGAAAAAAAAAATAATAATTGCATGTCCTCTATGGTGGTGTAGAGCCTAAAACATTTTGACTGCTGACCAGAAGCCTAGAGGTTCAAACCCACCAGCCACTCCTTGGAAGGAAGACTGGGCAATCTACTTCCATAGAGATACCACCTCGGAAACCCAAGGAGGTCTCACTATGAGTCAGATTCGACTCAAGGGCAGTGAGTTTGGTTTTGTTTGTTTGTTTTTTCTATGCTGTCAACTTGTCCTGGGCCAAGCATCCTAAATTCCTCAGGCCGAGCTCATCAGGATCAATCCCAAACCACTGTGTTACTAAGGAATAGGTAGATATGTAAAGCATGGTTTCTGCCCTCCAGTCCAGTGAGGAAATACTTCACATACATACAGGTCAGAAAGTAAGAGATCATTGGACTCAAGGTCCAGTAGAATTGAAAGGTTTCTGAAGGACAATCTAGGACTAAATCGTCTTGCAAAAAGTCTAAATGTTATTAAAGGTGACAAAAGGAAGAGATCAACTTGAAAAAGGCAAACAAAGAATTTAAGGAATGACTTCCTCCAGAAAACTGTCAGTTGAGAGGAAGGGAGATATAAAAAGTTAGCTACTTACCTCACAAAACATTAAAAAGTGCATGTTATGGGATTGTTGAGGGGAAATAGAAGATCAAATGGAAGCTGTAATGGCAGAAGAAAAATATGTATCCCAGAGTGGTTAGGATCAGGAGGAAGGTTAGATTCAGCCTGTGTACCTTGGCAGCAGCACCAAAAAGGGAAACAGAGTCACCCAAATCTCACTCTCCATTCCAAGGAAATGTACCAGCTCATCAGGACAAATGTCTTTCCTGGCGCTAAAGAACTCATCCACAGGAGTCCTCAGGCAGGGAACCAAAGCTATATAATACAATGTCACTGTTAGAAGTTTTGTGGAAGGTGTGACCTAAGCAAAAGAAAAAAAAAACCACACATTTGACTTCTGGGTCAAGATGGTAGACTGACCACATGTCACTTATTCTCCATCCTGAGCGCTCACTAAAATGATGTTGTTGTTGTTATTATGTGCCGTCGAGTCAAACCCAACTCATAGCGACCCCTCCTTGGGTTTCCGAGGCACTATCGGTAGGATTGCCCAACCTTCCTTCCGAGGAGTGGCTGGTGGGTTTGAACCGCCAGCCGTCTGGTTAGCAGGCAAGTATCTTAGCCACTATGCTACCAGAGCTCCCACTAAAATGATAGTAAAGGCATAAAAAGTATAACAGAGAGAACAATAGAGGAGCCAACCACAGGTAAGAGATGTCCGAGCATTTCCAGGTGCTGAGAAGTGGATGGAATAATGGATATTAATGAAGACCAAGTTGGAAACAGGCAGGAAGAGGGGCAGAGCCCATCAGCCTTGCAGAAGTTCAGGACTCGGAGATGCCAGGTACACAGAGGGCAGGAGCGAGATGGGCAGAAATCAGGAAAACTGATAACGTCAGTATAAAGAGCTGTCAACACTCACTACCTGCTGCCTGCCTCCCCACCGGCAGAACATCCGCAGCCAGGGCAATCAGAAGATCCTTCTCCAAGGAGAGTTAGAAGCCACACAGAACAGACCAGAGTGTTCTAGCATTTGGGAGCCTGGTGTAGCAAGTTTCTCCCTGCCTAACTCCACTAAAGGGAAACTACTCAACCACCCCTGTCCACTGTACAGAGCTTCCCCTCCATGCCTAGTGCCTCTTTCTCAATCATGAAATGGTAATCAAGAATCCTCAGACATTTGAGGAGAGTCTAGAACACAAAGGGGAGTGTTGTTGTTGTTGTTATGTGCCATCGAGTCGGCCCCAACTCATAGCGACCCCTCCTTGGGTTTCCGAGGCAGTATCACTACAGAAGTAGGATTGCCCAACCTTCCTTCCGAGGAGTGGCTGGTGGGTTTGAACCACCAGCCGTCTGGTTAGCAGTCAAGTGCCTTAGGCACTATGCTACCAGAGCTCCTCAAAGGGGAGTAACAGAGTTAAATAAGCCAACAAGGAACCAGGGGAAAATAAAGATCATTAAAAAGAAAAACAGAATTTGAGAACAAAATAACTAATATTCCTAAAAAGATGTAGAGATTCAAGATGAAATAGTGCCTTTGAAACAAGGTGCTATAAAAGCAACCATCAAAAGATGAGAAAACTTCTCAAAAATAAATTATGATCACTGAATTGTCTTTAATTCACTAGAATGATTGCAAGAGATAGGAAGACTCTCAGAAAGTAGAATAAGAAGCACAGTGAGATGGGAGATATGAAGGAAATCATTAGAGACATAATCACTCAATCCATGAGTCCTAATATCTTCTCCAACTGACACAACCTCTAAAATAATGAGAGAAGAAAATGGAGGAAATTACCAAATAAAAATACGAGATAATTTCTCAGTGCTGATCTTCAGGTTTAAAAATTTTACTAAGTGACCAGCAAGAGCTCTGGTAGGGTAGTGTCTAAAGCACTTGACTGCTAACCAGAAGGTTAGCAATTCAAACCCATCAGCCACTCCTCAGAAGGAAGGTTGGGCAATCTATTTCCACAGTGATACCACCTTGGAAACCCAAGGAGGGGTTGCTATGAGTCAGGTCTGACTCAACAGCACATAACAACAAGTGACCAGCACAATAAAAAAGAAAGAAAGAAAAAAGGATGCACACCTAAAAACATCATTGGGAAATTTCAGTGAAACAAAGATTAGAATATTCTGAAATTGTCTACAAGAAAGGACAGCTCACTGATATGAAAAAAAAAAAAAAAAAATGGAGACACCAATGAATTTCAGGGAGTCAATGTGGAATACTTTTCAAGTTTTGAGAAAAACTAGCTTCTGTCCTAGAATGCCATGCCCAGCCAAACTATGAATTAAGTAGGGAAGACAATAGAGTAAAAATATTTTCCAGGCAGACGGTTACAGAAAATTCACTTCCCACACAACCTTTCTTAGGAAGTTAATTGAGGATGTGCTCCAGAAAAAGAAGGAAGTACACCAAGAAAGAAGAAGATGTGGCTCTAACCTAGGAGAGAAGAAAAGGGAATTCCCAAGGTGACAAGTGGGCATCAGGCCCAGCGAGCTGCCAGTCCAGACTGCAGCATGAGTATCAAGGGCCCAGGAGGAGGCTTTCTGGGAAGAAGAGGAATTAATAGAATGTCTGATATAATTTAAAAAAAAAAAAAAAGTTTGGCAGTAAATAAGGCTCTGGTGTAGTCAGTAAGACATTTGACTGCTAAACAGAAGGTCAGTGGTTCAAACCCACCGACTTCTCTGCAAGAGAAAGATGAGGCAATCTATTTCTGCAAAGATTTACAGCCTTGGAAACCCAATGGGGGTCACTATGAGTCAGAATAGATTCAATGGCAGTAGGTTTGTTTTTATACACATTAGACTATATTAAAGGCAAATAATGTAAGGACACAGAAAGACAATTAGAAACTCCTAGAAAAACAAAAAAGGCATGTGATCATAGAATATATCTTAGCTTTGCAGAAAGCAATATGTATACATATTGTCTAATCATGTAAATACTATTCATTGATTTTTTTCAATGTTAGAATCGACCTAAAGGCAAAATGTGGAAGACAACTGTAATTATGAACAGAATGTAAATATTACCAACCTAACAATATAAAGTACAAACCAAAAAAAAAAAACTCACTGCCATGGA